ACTGACGAAGAAAAACGCTAACGCGTTGTTATGAAAAAAAGGAAAGAACGAAATAAATAAATACGAGTTACACACACCAAAAAATAGCAAACGCTCAAATCTTACATTCCGTTTGTTCTTGCAAAACGAAGTCGACCCAAAACGACCTCCTTCTGACGGCTTTCGAACCGTGCGCAATATTGACCGAGGAGGACTTGACATGAGAACGTCTGATTAACGTTTTTGTCCTGCAACGAATGATGGGAAATTAATCCAATATGGCGAAGCATCATCCAGATCTCATCATGTGCAGAAAACAGCCTGGCGTAGGTTAGTTTGTTTGCAATTTTAACTAAGGTTCCTGGTGCAGTTTACTGATTACATTAAATTTTTACTTATATCTCAGCTATAGGTCGGCTGTGCGAAAAATGTAAGTACAAGATTCGTTTAACTTTTTTTACAGTAACCAACTGATTCGATAGAGAGCTAAGTTTACATTTTCTTCTGTTTAGAGACAAATAACGTCTGCTTCATGACTAATTCTATTTTCGAGAGTTTGCGGATTTTATTTTTCTTTTGCTTTTCTCTGAGCGAAAATGTGAGTAAGGTGAAACTCGAGTACAGATTTCCTTTGAATCAAAGAATGTCAAAGGTAGATTGATACACGTGCGTTCTTATTTTATGTGCGAAGGAGTCAGTTTCAACGGATTTCAATTCAAAAGAAGAGAGATCATCCATTCTGTGACGAGTGAGAGGTGAAAGTTCTAAATCTAGGATTTTCAGAAATAATTCTGAGCTAGAGTTTTGTCGAAAATTCAAATCTTTTCTTATTGCAAAAAAATCACTCAGAAGATATTTTCACCTCTGGTTTAGTCAGGGTTTTGGTGTGTTTTCCCTTCCATCGCATACATTGAGACTGAATGCTAGTAATGTTCATGCGCTGTTGTTGTTGTTGTTTTTTTTATGCGTAGGTGATGGTAAATGTGTCATTTGCGACTCCTATGTGCGTCCCTGTACACTGGTGCGTATATGTGATGAATGCAACTATGGCTCTTATCAAGGTCGCTGTGTAATATGTGGTGGACCTGGTGTTTCTGATGCTTATTACTGTAAAGAATGTACAGTTCAAGAGAAAGATGTGAGTTACATTTAGAAAACTAGGAATACTAAGGTTAATACAATTGATTCCCTACACCTCAAACTAAGAAGAAGAATTAAGAAGTTTGTGACATATAGGGAAATGTAGAAGAAACTAACTTAAGGATAACTTCAGAAAGTAAAATCACTCCAAGTGAAAAGAGGTTTAAGCCTTGAACTCCCAAGATCTCATTAGCAATTCTCCTTATTGTCTGCCAAATGATTCCCATTATTTTAGCTGGAGAATTTGGTATTAGATCAATTAGTAATCCCATAATTAATATTTTTCTTCATTCCCAGCACTTGACTGCTTGATATTGTGTTGATATAGTAAGGAGAAATTCTGTCTTGGTCACTCATGGCAGTTAAAGGGTTAAGTTATTGGGAGTTGAATGTTCATGTATTGGGGGAGATGTTGAGGCCTGATAGTACAAAAGTTGGTCCAATTTTCCAACTTATGTTCTCAAAGTGCATCTTGATATCCAAGAGTGTGAAATGAAAACCGCAAACTGTCAGGAGAATCTAACAAAACTGCTGGTTTGGAAGAAGAGAAGGGGGAGAGGGTTATACTTCAATGGAATAACATTTCCCTTTGGGAAAGTGACAATACTCCTTGTCCCTTCATGGTGAGGAATGCAGGACAAGCATTGGCCAGCTGGATACTTTGGCTCTATTTCTGAGTTTGCCCTACCTTATATGTGCACTCACAGTTTTGGTAACACCCCAGCTAATTTAAATCCCAAAGGCCTGTTTGGATGACTAATTTGCTGCTTGTCAACACTCAGTAAATCAAATCTAGAATGGACTCTGCATTGAAAAGCTTTTGTGAAATTGCTGGGAAATCCTTGTTTTCAAAATAATAGCATCAGAGTTTTAATACAGTACTTGATGCTTTTCTGTTTGTTTTTTTACAGAGAGATGGCTGCCCCAAGATTGTCAACCTAGGAAGTTCTAAGACTGATCTCTTCTATGAAAGAAAGAAGTATGGTTTCAAGAAGAGATGACAGTTTATCTTACTTAACTTTAGTTTTTAACATGCACCCTAGGTTGAGCTGTGTATAAACATGATTAATCTTTCCTGCACAATAATATTGTTATTGTCAACTTTTGAGTTGGTTAGCCAGCCTTCATGAGGAATGTAGGTTCCTGACTTCAACACATCAATTCCCTTGACCTTGTCAGTTTCTTGTTCTATTACAGTTTATGATTCCATCATTGGGATTTAGACAGTCTTAACTTATCATTTGTATGTCACTTTGATATGTACCTTGGTTTTATTTACTTCATGATGTAAGAGGTTGAGAGAGCTATATCTGTGTCGAGCTATGCAGTGTTAAAGACATTTTTAATTCAGTTAAAGAGGAAAAGTTAAGTAAACACTTAGGAAATGTCAAGTTTTGCCAACATAAAGTTTTCAAGGTCATTAAAAGTTTTTTGTAGTCGTGAATCATGGTTCAAGGTATTCTTGGCTGATTTTCTCAGAACTTGAATGACACTTTTTGCCAGTTATCAGTAATTGTTTGAACAACTCAATTACCAAGGGAAGATCAAGAGGGTGGACCCAAGAATATCAATCTCTTTCATAGTTCTTATTTAGAACTTTCATGAAAACTGAAGAAGTGTGAGAGTCCAAGGATTCATAAGTTAACGCATCCCTTTTCCTAGTTTAGAGTGGACATACACCAATAACCTTTGAGTTTCTAGTAGTTCTCTCTGCACTACTTTGGATGGCTTCTCTTCTCTGAACTGATTAACTAGAAACAAAGCTGTAAACCAGAAATTTGTACAAGTTACATGTAAATGTGAAGAAAAAGGAAAAAATATAGCTTTCCAAGAGACCCAGTTTTTACCATTTTCTTGAGTTAGATGATTGATCTGCCTTTGGAGGAAGGGCATTGGATTATTTCCTGGTCAATAGTTTGTTAGCAAGGGTATTATACTTTAGGCATTAACCCTTTAACTCCCAAGATCTGATTGTTAATTCTCCCATGTAGCTGCTATACCTTTCCATGTAAATTGGCTATGATAATTTGGTGTTAGCTCAAGATAGCAATTTATATCTGATAAGTACATTGATGTATTGTGGGTTCTTGTTCTTTTATTTCCTTTCCTCTTAAGTTTTTGTCCTTTTATTTTCGGTTGTTATTTCTTTACATGAAAAGATCCAAACATTTTGCGATGTTGTGCAACATCAGCAAAGAGGTCCATTGTTCAATGAGTTTAACTGTTTTACCCTTTACTTCATAACGTCAGTATGCATATTCTCCATTCTATTCCCTAGACATTTCCTAGGGTTCTGACAAATAGAATTTGTTCAACAATCAAGAGCTTCTTTGGTTGGTGATCATTTCCTTTATTCTCATGACCTTGATGTTTGATTCAGGGTGATATTGTAACGAGAAATTAGATGTTAGTCACCCTTAGGGGTTAAAGGGTAACAAAAATGTTTAACAGGGAAAAGGTAGTTTCAAACGAGTACTCCAGGGAAGAGTAACTTTGAGTGTTAAGGGGCCTTTTTTAGTATCAGTTGGCTTGCAACCATCAGTGTAAGGGCTTTAACCCTTTAACTCCCATGGGTGACCAAGACAGAATTTCCTCTTACAATATCAATACAATATCAATCAGATAAGTGATGAGAATAAAGAAAAATTTCTATTTGGGGATAATTACTTGATCCAATACCAAATTCTCTGAACTAACGTTATAAGAATTATATGATTGACAGTGAGGAGAATGACAAATTTGATCTGTGAGTTAAAGAGTTAACCCTTTACAGCCTAACATCAGTATTCATATTCTTCATACTGTTCTCTGTACATTTACTAATGCGCTGACAAGGAGAATTTGTCTGGTAATCAAGAGATTCTTAAGTTGGTGATCACTTTCTTTATTCTCATGACATTAATGTGTGATTCAATGGTCACTATTGTAAGGAGAAATTAGATGCTAGTCACGCTTAGGAGTTAAAGGGTTGAGTAGCATTACTGGTAAGTTTTGATTTTTTTCTCAGGGTTCCACAACGTCACGCATGTTCATTTAGCAGAGTCTTGTTTGGAGGACTGGGACAGTGGACGATCATTCAATCAGGAAAAGAAAAAAATTAATAAAAAAAACTAAAAAATGATTTAAAAATAAACAAGAAATATAAAAAAAAACAAAAGACTTTTTCAATGTTTACACAATACAAGGGTTTGAGAGAATTTTTGACAGTAAAGCAACCCGAGAAGCAGTTGATAGTTTGCAAAACTATCTCGAATTTTTCTAGACCCCTAAGCTTCGGGATGAGGTTATCGAAACACGGAATAAGTTACTTATTGCTTTTATAAGATGTTTCTCAAAAATACACACGAACTAACGCATCACAGTGGTCCTTTTATATTTAAATATAAACACACCGATCGGCCCATGATAGACGCGTGATATCTCGGTTCTTTCCTGTTTTTTTCATAAAGCTGCTTGGTCAGTATCAAGATTTTCACATTTATTTTGAAATCGGAAATCACGGAAATGATAGAGAGACGTGCGTGGTGATTCTCCAACGACGAATGGGCCATATTTTGCTTTTGCCTCTTTGAACCGCAACAATGAGCTTTAAGAGTCTTGTTTCACTTTCAGAAGAAAAGATGGTACTTGACACCGTGCCAGAGAAAACAACATCCTAGCTCTGGCCCGGCCAATATGAGAACTTATGAATGATCCCGGTTAGGAAGTGCGTTGGATTCCAACGAAAAACAAACGACCGTATGTTTAAAATCTATATCATGTGTAGATCTTCCACAAATTCCTGTCTGATCGCAGAAACCTGATTTCGGAAGATTGCGTTATTTTTCAAGGTTGCAGACTACGCCATTCTCGAGAGATTTCGGCCACGTGACTTCCTTGTTGTCAATCATCAGTTGATTTTAGCGAACAAATCGCCAGCCGTTTGATTGAGGTCTAAGTAGTCTACCGCACAAAATGATGCTCTTATAGTACAACTAAGTAGTCCCTATTAGGATCAGGGGTTGCACCGTTTCCAGGCATGGGAGAAGTAAACGCGGAAGATGTTCTGTCCCATTTGAAAGCTGTTTTCGAAGCTTGTGACCAAAATGGCGACGGTTTTGTGAAGACGCAGGATCTTCTAAGCCTCGGCCAAGAACACGCTAGTGTTGGATTTGAGGTAAATTAAAACTGTCCTTACTACTGCTTACTTTGATTTTGATCATTATTCATGGGCCTGTACCATGAAGCAGCAGTAGATAATATATAAACTGTATTTGAGATACGTGAGGACGGAGTTTTTTTTGTATTCCCAATCATAAACAGAGAGTGAGTACATGAATGTGCGTACATAGAGACGTAATTTTCGCGACTAGTCAGCGTTTGGGGTTTGTTTCCTAGTGATAGAAGACAATTTGCTTCGATCGAAATATTTCAAATTCAAGAATTGTTCTACGATAAATTTAGTGGCTTTTGAAGAGGCTCGATCGCTCCTTTTGTTGTATCGAAAAGTGTTGTTTTATTTGCACTCTCGCTTGTCATCTCTTTCGCCACACCGGGTTAGTTTACTATTACCTTGGTGAACCGGTCATTAACAGGAAGACAATTCTAAAATTTTCTGGGGAAACAGCGATCAATCGGTTGATATCCTTGAAATTATTTTCTTCGTCGTTCCCGATCTCCAATATCAAAATTGAGAGTACTGTGAACACTTTTTCCAAATTCGTTCGCAACCGAATGCCTCACTTCCTTAGCAGTGAGTGTTGATTGTTGTTAATGTAAAACTCATTGATATTCTACCATTCTCCTCTACCACTAGGAGATAAAAATTCTGATCGAAAAGCTCGATCCTGAAGGGTTTGGGCAGATAAGCTTTGATGGGTTTTGTAAAGGAATACACGATTTTTTAGGTAAGTGATTTTTTAACATCATTGCCAACTGGTTGGTGAAATATCAGTTTCTAATCATATTGCGTTATGTGCAATTGTGAAGGCTTCCAATATGATAGTAGCTCAGGTGAATAATATTCGCTGACGTGAAAGTCCGAGATCGATTCGAGAACCGACAATATATGTCTTTCTAGATGGTGTCTGTATGATATTGAAATGTTTTCATCTCCCTAGGGGCCAATGGTGATGTCAATAATGTAAATGAAAAAAATTCGCACAAGTTAGTGGAAGATGATTCTTTCCCAAGACTGACAATATCTGTGGTGGAAAACGACCAACAGGAAGATAGCTGCTGCGAGGTACTTTGAAATTCATTAATTTGTTTTTCAAAACGTGCCAAATGGTTGCTCATTTAGTCCACTGAGTGCTGCGAGAAAATTAACCACGATTTCTTATGACAACGAGCACTTTAAGATTTTGGGAATTGGCTAAGAGACACAAGTTTGTATACACAAATGTCAAGTCACAATATTTCATTTCGTGGGAAAAATTTTTCGTGAAGTTTCTCAGGCTTTTTTGTCTTTCATTTTCTATTAAAGTTATTTCTTTTCTTTTCAGTTTTGCTATGTTAACTGAACTATAAAAATTAATATTTATGTGGATTAGTCAGTGATGTAAATAGGTTTCTGACTGTGCATATCCTTGCAATGTTTATCTATGCATCATTGAAGCTCAACAAGTCCAGACCAGTTTATGTGATACACACGTCATTGGATTTGCACTTTTTATCAAATTTTGCGTCATATTTTGGGAGATGCCTTAAATATATTGTGACCTGGTGTCACTTCAAATTTGCCGGAAGCTACGACTTTAGTTTCTGTCATTTTCAAAGTAGGCTTACATCGCTGAAAAGCATTCAGTTTTGGTTGGTTTACTCAATTACTATTTTTATTGTGGGTTACTTGAAGCTGAAAACAAAACTAATTAAAATGGAAAAAATGGTGAAGTTCAGAAACTGTGTTCTCTTTGTTAAACAACCCTGTATTTCAGAGGTTTGCATAAAATCTAGTTACCACTGGTCTGCCACTGCCTATAAGACCTCTTACTGCTGCTCAGCCTGTGAGCAGCCTCTCATGTTTGGATTTTGCCTTACAGCCCTTTGGCTTTTTTTATGGAAAAAGTTATTTTATATTTTAAGTTATATTAGTTATAAAAACCCTGGTGTAATTTTGTGGAATATTTAAAAACCATATGGAGTGCATGGCTATGTTCAAACACTTTCAATAAAATTTGAGCAGATGGTGGTAAGGGGCCATAAGATCCACAGTGTGCTCTTATTGGTAATTGTCTTCCGCTGAAATTTGGACTAAGGATAATTTATTTTGATGATTATCATGATGATAATGACAATGACTACAATACAGTGAAACCATCATTCTGCCTTCAAGTAAAAATGGGTGGTGGCAAACTGTCACAGAAGCCTTAAAAAATGCAGGGGGAGGGAGGGGGGTAACTTGCAATGGACTGGCATGCCATCTAAGGGGAATGGGAATAATTTCAGTTGTCTCTTGCTCTGTAGACGTGGATAAGTCCTGGCACTTTGAGTGCCTCTTGCCTTGATTGCCACTTCTTGAATGTTACTTGTACCTTTTGTAAAGATCTGTGGTACTGATGCAACGTTCTCTTTTCAGAGAGACAGTACTTACAGTACAGCATCCACAAATGAGTATAATGGTGACGACGATGACAATTTCCAAGATGAGCCGCAACCTTCAAAGTTCAGTCGTAATCAAAAACAATACTCTACGTTCCCACCCCCCACAGGACCTCGGTTAAAACACCGTGCAACTTTACCAGCCATGAATGTTGATATGTATAGTGATAGACATTCACACTCAGATACCAGTGAGTATCAGTCTGAAGAAGGATTTGAAGGATTTGGAGAAAGCTTCAGTGAGGATACAGCATTTGAAGATACTCCAACTTTACAAAGGGACCATCCATATTCTGAACGCATCCTAAGAAAGTAAGTTTTAAGTGTTTCCATCCAACCACTACAATGTCACATGTAACAATGATTCTCCCCTTTTGATGTCTAGTTATTTCCTTTTGAAGTAAATCAGATTTTGGTGTTTTTTAGACCTCTACCATAATGGTGGGCACAATTGTTTTTCTTTTATATGCAGGAAAATATGCATTTTGGTCTTGCTTTTGAGTCATAATAGTATGTTTTTTAAACAGTTTGTTGTGGCCAAAAGGCCAACTGATTGCAGGACATGAAATGGAAAGAATAGTGATTAGAGAGAGAATCGTAGAATAAATTTTTGCAGTATTTAGAAGGATATTGTATATCATGATTATATCTGCTTCAATTTAGGGGAACTCCAATCTTAAAACCATATGAAGTCACTCTTTTACAAAGCTTTTGTTGTATATTTGCTAGTTATAATCTTTATCATTTATTTCCTTTTGCAATAGAAGATCATCAGCTGCAGCAGCTGCATTTTCAAGGTAAACAGGATGCACTTATAAATAAATTTGATGAATGTAATTTTATAGCACATCAAACAAGATTAATTGTTTGGTAAAGAACATTTTATGGTTATCATTTAGAATTGCTATTCTAAAGAGGTGAAAAATGTTATGTGTGATTTATAATGACACCCTTGATAAAAT